CTGAAAAAGCCCTTTCCCTTTTTAATAATAAGAAGANGAGAAGCGCTTTTGCTATTGAGAAAGCGAACGGTCAGCGCGAAGGTTCAAGACTTAGCCGAGCGTTAGCGAAGCTAGATTCTCATAGCGAGGCGCTTCGAGTTAGCGAAGCGCTGTAGTAGGGCCGAAGCCCTATTATAATATAATGCTGAGCCAAGGACGCTCCGCCTTATCTATAGAAGCAGTCAACTGAGTTCTGAACGAATTAGCTCCTTGGTAATGGCTCAATCTATAGATAGAAAGCCCTATGATGGGAAACTACCACGTTAGGTTTGGAGAGAGATGGGACCGGTTATATAATAGAGGGAGCAGATGCAAGCTTTTTCTTTCAATAGCCGGCTAAATGACTACAGGATCATCGGTCTACTCTACCTCAATTCACCATTTCGAACCTTATACAGAAGGGTTTTCCGTACCAGCTCCTTCTACCTATACCGCAGTTGAAGCACCTAAAGGAGAATTTGGTGTCTTTCTGGTCAGTAATGGAAGCAATCGTCCCTACCGTCGTAAAATAAGAGCACCTGGCTCTGCCCATTCACAAGGACTCGATTCTATGTCCAAACATCACATGCCAGCGGATGTGGTCACCATCATAGGTACTCAAGATATTGTGTCTGGAGAGGTGGATAGATAGGACTACTAGTTGCTCGATCAGGACCCTAGCTTTATTGCGAGCCAAAAACCTTGATAGATTCCCCTCAAGAGAGTTTCACAAAAATGGGAACCGAGTGTAGGTTAACTCTTTTAGGTTTTGAGCGAGGATCCCACTTTTTAATAAGGAGCGGTAAGAAGAGTAGCTTTCCGTCTTGCCATTATTTATGTATACCTACAGGGGACGGAGCTACCCTTCAACATTGACCAGGTTATCAGCCTAGGGAAAGCGCAATGTTGCCCAGAAGCTCATAGCAAAATTCTGTTATTCAGATCCGTTGAGCAGAGGTGGAGGATGCCCTTTTCGGACAGTGGCATCGTGCGGTACTCAAGAAAGGAAAGCGCAGTCGATAGTGCCTTTCATAGAACGGTGCCTATGGGAAGGGCGAGAGGATGCTGATCACTAACAGAATCGGCTACTACGGTATCGGTTGGCTGAAACCGTTCGGATTGCTTCGCGAATCCTCTTCATCCGGCTTCCCACAGAGGAAGGCGCCCTTCCGTGTCGTCCACTAGCTCCAGTGAACCCGACCCAGCTCAGCTCACTTAAGGCGGTAACCTTGTGATCGATAACGACCACGACCGGTCCCGCATTTCCGTTTGGATGGAAGGGAAGTACCTATGTAACGGTGGCCGGGAGTGCCTATCCGCCGAAGTAGTTGTAACGGGCTTAAGCTAGCTAAGCACTTGATGGAACGGTTACACTTGCCTCTTATATACCATGTCATCACCTGTTTCATCTTGCCCTCGCTGGGAGATTACATCTTTCTTTCTACTTAGATGGAGCCTCTGAACCCAGATCGAAGATACTTTTTTAGGATCGACTTAGGGCAGGAAGACGTAACCCAGCATTCCATAGCGTANCCTCTGAACCCAGATCGAAGATACTTTTTTAGGATCGACTTAGGGCAGGAGGACGTAACCCAGCATTCCATAGCGCATAGAGGAGAGGGGGAAAGATATGACTATGCGTAGGAAACTTAAGAATAGGGAGGTCTTAGATGAAGTGAAATGAGGTGAAATGCCAATAAAGTTATTCTCAACATTCACTTTAAAAAAAGAAATCCATCTTACTGCGCTTAATAGGCCGCTTTATTTACAAAGTATCTAGAGGGATGGTTCAACCTTTGGTTGTGGTGGAAACCCTCCAAAAGTAACTCTTTTCTTTCACTTTTATTGTTCATGTATTTTACTTCCATTGCTTGAGCATCCTTCTTTCTTAGAAGAGTGAAACTCTTCCACTTTTCTAGATCTTTACCAAAGCCGTGAAGGGTGAAAAGTGATTCACTTATTCTTCATTGAAGATAATCTCTTTGTTTAGTTTGTTTTACTTAGTTGCTCTTCTACTTAGAGGGATGAGTATCACTCACTTTTCTAGCTTTGCCAAGGCCATGAAAAGTGAGTAACTCCTCATTCACTCTTTAGTAAGAGGTGATGAATATGTAAAGATTATCCGAAAGTTATGTTTGTGCAACTTCTTCATGCTTTAATGCTTTATACTCCACCTGTTCATTGGATGATTGAATGTATCTAGCAAAGTTGAGGTACTTTGTATAACCAAGGGGTTCATCTATGATACTGATGACTCCTGCATAGAAAGACCTGTTGGTTCAAGACAAGCACCCCCGGCTAGCTCTTCGTGACAATATTTCAATCTCCACAATTACTGCGCTTTATTCAAAGAATAGATCATTAATGCTATGGTTGGATGCCTTGTAGAAACACTTGCTTATTTGTAGACGGGTTAAGTCTCGGCACAAACAATTCTTGTAAACTTCTAGAAAGGTATCGAAATCATGTGCTTAATTCTTATAGTCCATCTTTATCTTTCGATTAACTTGTTGTTGACATGAGAGTTAATTGAGTTATAAATCACAAGCATAATAAACCGGATAGTCTATTATATTTTCTGATCATCGAGCTAAAGAGTGGCTATTACATTTAGAGAATCTTATATTTTGTCTAGAAAACTCTTGAAAAATAATCTTCTATTCTATTCAAGAAATTCCACCACTTCAAACTCTCGAAATTTTCAGTTACTTGATCTCTATTATTACTTACTTGAAAACACCAATCATAGTTCTCTGTGGATTTGACTCTGGTCTTAACCAGATTATTACTACAACTTGACCACCTGCACTTGGGTGTACATATTTCGGATCAAGTCAATTGACACAATAAAAATATAGTGGTTCACCAGCTCAGGAGCTCGGCTAATCCACTCTTTAATGGAGACTCTTGCTCCTTTTTTTCTCTATTAATCACCTGAAAGGTTTACAAGACCGATTGTATGTTACTCAGGTCCCCTTTCCCTTGGGGGCATTACATAGTATTTATAGGGCTGTTCCTAATTCTGCGGGGTCTGCACCGAGATCCTTGTAATTTATCCAAGGATCTCTCTTTGATCTTAGGAGAGGATCTTGGCTACTTAAAGATTTTGTGCCTTGAATATGGTTCTTTGTCGCCTGTAAGCTTTTTGTTATTATCCAGCTGTTCTTTTATCATTTCCTCTGTTGTCAAGTCTGGGGGGACTTCTAGCTTTGGTCCTTTGAGCTCTGCGTGTCTTCCCTGACCTTTTGGTTTGACCTGCTTGTCTGACCTCCGCGCCTGAGCTCATACTTGAAAATTTTTCTGAATATCATTAGTTGTAATAATATAAGAATTCAATTAATTTCTATGTAATTGAACAACTACAAGAATTCTGATTAGACTTATCGGCCTTCATTCTAGCTTGGTGGCTGTGGACCTCAAATTTCAACTACTTGGTTGAGTTCAAGGACGGGTAGAGAGAGAGGGAAAAAAAAAAAGAATTCTGATTAGACTTGTTGAAGAAACTAGTCCTTCCCTTCCAACTTGAGTTTATTGTTTGATTGACAGCTTGATATATGACGTATTTTTTTTCTTTATTCTAGTGGTAATCACGCAAGAACATTATGTTAACTTTCCTGTTATTGTCTAATTTTAGCCGAGTTTTGACTGTTGCATGTTTTTGAACATTTGAATTTAAAAGTTTGATAATTGGTGGTTAAATTGGAAGTGATGGAATTATCGTTATTTTTACAATTTTTAAAAAGCATTAATTATATCTATTGTTTTGACTTTTCAAAAGTGATCTAATTTAAAAGAAAATTAATTATTGTCTGTACTTGAAGACACAGAGTAATAAAAAATGATAAACAATAAACATATTTGTACAAATATTTAAAATCAAATCACAAATATAGAAAAGAAATAAAGGAATTTAAGCATCGATTTGTAGTGGGGGTGAGAGGTGGTGGGTGACAATGGTGGTGGTAGGAGACGGTGATGGTTGTGGTGGGTGAAAATAATCATGGTGGCGGTGGTGGTGATGAGGGCGGTGTTGGTGGTGGCGGTGGTGGTGGTGATTGTGGTGGTGGCGGCAGAGACAGTGGTGGGGCCGGTGGTGATGGCGGGGGTGGAGGCGGTGGCGGAGGTGGTGGTGGCGGTGGTGAGGGCAGTGGCGGGGGTGGTGGTGGTGGCGGCGGCGGTGGTAGAGGTAGTGGTAGGGCAGTTTCAAACACTATTTTTGTTAAAATATTTATAAGAAATAATTTTCAAAAATACTTTTAAAAATCACTCCAAGCACACTCTTAGAGACCTATTTTTTTCTATTAAATTTAGGATGTTAATATTAATCGTTAGATTAACTTTAAAGTAAAATTTAAAACGATCTCGACTGCCAATAACAAAAATTATTTTGTTTATCTTTTAAAATTTGAATTTTAAACTACTTTATTATATAGATCGATGAGTGAATTTGTTTTAGAATTCTATTAGACCTAAGAACTGACCTACAAAAAAATTCTTTTAAACCATATTGCACTGGTAATTTCCGTGCTAGTTATGAGTCTACAATGGGGTGATCCCAGACTGACCCATTTATGTCTAGTTCTCCGGCGCCAAGCCCAATTTGTTTACGATAAGATACCCAATCTGNTCACCAGCTCAGGAGCTCGGCTAATCCACTCTTTAATGGAGACTCTTGCTCCTTTTTTTCTCTATTAATCACCTGAAAGGTTTACAAGACCGATTGTATGTTACTCAGGTCCCCTTTCCCTTGGGGGCATTACATAGTATTTATAGGGCTGTTCCTAATTCTGCGGGGTCTGCACCGAGATCCTTGTAATTTATCCAAGGATCTCTCTTTGATCTTAGGAGAGGATCTTGGCTACTTAAAGATTTTGTGCCTTGAATATGGTTCTTTGTCGCCTGTAAGCTTTTTGTTATTATCCAGCTGTTCTTTTATCATTTCCTCTGTTGTCAAGTCTGGGGGGACTTCTAGCTTTGGTCCTTTGAGCTCTGCGTGTCTTCCCTGACCTTTTGGTTTGACCTGCTTGTCTGACCTCCGCGCCTGAGCTCATACTTGAAAATTTTTCTGAATATCATTAGTTGTAATAATATAAGAATTCAATTAATTTCTATGTAATTGAACAACTACAAGAATTCTGATTAGACTTATCGGCCTTCATTCTAGCTTGGTGGCTGTGGACCTCAAATTTCAACTACTTGGTTGAGTTCAAGGACGGGTAGAGAGAGAGGGAAAAAAAAAAAGAATTCTGATTAGACTTGTTGAAGAAACTAGTCCTTCCCTTCCAACTTGAGTTTATTGTTTGATTGACAGCTTGATATATGACGTATTTTTTTTCTTTATTCTAGTGGTAATCACGCAAGAACATTATGTTAACTTTCCTGTTATTGTCTAATTTTAGCCGAGTTTTGACTGTTGCATGTTTTTGAACATTTGAATTTAAAAGTTTGATAATTGGTGGTTAAATTGGAAGTGATGGAATTATCGTTATTTTTACAATTTTTAAAAAGCATTAATTATATCTATTGTTTTGACTTTTCAAAAGTGATCTAATTTAAAAGAAAATTAATTATTGTCTGTACTTGAAGACACAGAGTAATAAAAAATGATAAACAATAAACATATTTGTACAAATATTTAAAATCAAATCACAAATATAGAAAAGAAATAAAGGAATTTAAGCATCGATTTGTAGTGGGGGTGAGAGGTGGTGGGTGACAATGGTGGTGGTAGGAGACGGTGATGGTTGTGGTGGGTGAAAATAATCATGGTGGCGGTGGTGGTGATGAGGGCGGTGTTGGTGGTGGCGGTGGTGGTGGTGATTGTGGTGGTGGCGGCAGAGACAGTGGTGGGGCCGGTGGTGATGGCGGGGGTGGAGGCGGTGGCGGAGGTGGTGGTGGCGGTGGTGAGGGCAGTGGCGGGGGTGGTGGTGGTGGCGGCGGCGGTGGTAGAGGTAGTGGTAGGGCAGTTTCAAACACTATTTTTGTTAAAATATTTATAAGAAATAATTTTCAAAAATACTTTTAAAAATCACTCCAAGCACACTCTTAGAGACCTATTTTTTTCTATTA